GAGGAGAAGAGTTAGAAGTGTCTTCACTTCCCTCTAATTAGCTTATAAGCTTTACCTAAGTCTCATAAGCTTGATACTCAATACTTATATAAAGGGAACCCCCTACGGATTCCAGCACTAATGTATTATAAGTTGTACCTTATTAAGTTACATTATGCTGGCACGGTATCGATTTCACCAACCAGATTTCCACAACAAAAACGAGACGAGCACTCAGTGGTGGTGGAGGACGAGATAGCGTCTCAAGACGCTGGGGTCGCGTCAAGCGAGGCAACGAAGGGAAGAGAGAGAGAGAGAGGAGAGAACGATATGCACCCCCGCCCGACGACCCAGGAGGAGATGTTGTATCCGATGTGAGAGGGAACAGACGCCCAACCATAGACATCCTACTTGTGAAGGTGATACTGGCAACTTACGTTCTGCGAGGTATCTATGCGTGATAGGTCTATGAATAAGCTAGCAATTGCTGACGTATATAAAGTTCCAAAGTACTAGTTGAAATCTAGGCCTCTATTGAGAGGGGGGACACACATGAGGACCTGTGCCGCCTCTACCGCGCTTCTAGATAGAGTTTCTTGTCGTGGATCATAGGGTTATGAAACGCAGCGATTAATAGACGATTAGGGTAAGTGTCTGAGAAGAGATGTCTGCGACCCCTACGGTGTTCATGTACAGCTATTAAAAAACATTATGCGAGTAGTGTCTCGAGATGGCGTGCGCGGGAGACGGTGTTGCACTCGTACACAGGCATTTGATTATATATCTGTAGTGCCTATTACAAGATGTCAATTCTTGTACATATTGTTACGTTACTTCATTGTTTCACTACTATGTCGCAGTCGGAGTATCTATAAGAGCACTGATCAACTCCCTCGGACCACTAAGGGTCGGATCCATATCCAGACAAACTAGAATGACATAATTGGTTCATTATACTTCACATATCTGCACAAACACTCGATGGTGCGCAAATGTGGATCATGATACACACCAACAGCCTACTTCATCGATAAGACGTGTATGAATGTATATTTTTTACGTGTCTGCATTTAGTACATGAAATCTCGTATCTAAGCGCACTTCGACATCCTTATGTATTACTTCGTATATGTTGCAGCAAGAGTTGTAGATCTTGAAAAAGCACAGTAGTAGTGCGAGTGACACGACTTTATTACTAGGTAACATAGACTTGGTGTTTACACAGCACCTGTAAGAGTTTTTTGTGTAGAGTACCCTTCAAGGTATTCCTATCAGGGTCTTGGAATAAGAGGAGCAAGTCAAAAATGAAGTCATTGCGTTAGAACTCATAGTGTAGCAAACACTCTTAATACATATTATCTTTGCCCTGTGGCACGATGCTGTTGGTATTCTGCGGTTAAAGCAGAACGGGGAGTGAAAGATTTATTCGTGTTGAAGATTTACAAATCACTTCTGGCGTCGCGACGTGCTATTCTTTTTACATTATACTGTTCTGGTGACCAAATCCTACAGTATTCATCGTCCCCTACCCAAATATTATATATTGAGAGAATCTTTACAAGATACTCTTTTGATTAATTCTGGCTGATCTACGCAGAGCACCAAAAGTCGATAACATTATTTTTTTTTTTCGAGAGGGATATTAGCATTGACTCGCAGAGTCTACTGAGATCTTCTGTGCGCTCCCCTTACAACAAACCTACCCAGCCGGGGCCAGCTTTGACTACCGACAAACTCCTTCGACGAGAGTAGGATTACTATATTGCAACTAGATAAAACGATAAGCTTATAGTACAGCTATTTCGTATATAACTTGTTCCTTACGTTCATGAGCTGTAATCAGTTTTCTTATCTTAAGGGGGCTAAGAGGACTCGTCCACGCGGAACCTAATCAGTCTTTAGTACTCGAAAGGTGTCTGTTACACGCAGATCTACGCATGACCACTAAGTTCTATTGATGATCAGATGGACATAGCTAGGTGCTTATAAGTCGCAAGTAGTTGCTATTGTGTGTCTTTTGAAAAGTTATTTTGATAAGTTATTATAGGTAGATTCTAGTCCATTCGGACGGTTGCCTACAGATGCGCGCGCTTATATGCTATAGGCCGCTATGTAGTAAAGACTTTCTAAAATTCATTCTATAGCTACTAAAGACTCGATTAGTCCAGAAACACAGTATCTCATTTAGGTACTAGAGAAGCGCATGAGCAATTTATCAGTGTACTGACATGTTAGATCGTATGAGTCGTAGAATGACAAGAGAGCATGGGAGATAGACCAAGTGTGTTATATACCTGAGACTGATGTAACAGATCTGTCGCTGCTGGACGCTAGGAGGTACGTACGAACCTAAGTGTGTCCTTAGTTTATATCAGCACGCAGGTTTTCTACACAAAAGAAAAGAACTTTGCGTCAAGCGTTGACCATACTCGGGTTGTGCTCGGCAGGACTTTGCATTCATGGTCTATGTCCACTGTTCCATCCAGTGAGTGTACGTCCTTTTGGCGGTAAGGACAGGGTCGGCGGCATATCGCTCGCCAAAACAGAGATACTCTCAATTTCCACACAGTCGCGAACCTGACATTGGACATTTCGTTAGGCTCGAGACACCAAGATCTCCGGCAGACGAGATCGTGAGAATGTGGCACAGGCCGGCAACCACTGCAAAATCGAAATTTTTAGGTATCTAATCGGCGTTGGCAACATCACCCAGACACATATTACCAACAGGCCCGAAGGTCTCATAATAAGGTTCAAACCCACTCGTCGAGTCTGATCTGTTTTGGCGTAGTCATCCAAACCCCTATATGTATTCTAACGAGCGAAAGGGAAAAGAAATATTTCGGCTTGCAGACAGGGGAAGTATGCATCGCCTACGGTCCTCTGACCGGTACTAGTTTTAGCTTATTAGTCTCTAGCTTTTAGCGCTGTCGAGACCCGCCTTATTATTAGCTAATAAGCTGCGCGGTCGTCGTGATTGGAATACCATAAAAAAAAAAAACAGGTGGTTCGCGTAGAGTTAAAAGAATAAACAAAACCATATCCTATACGAATAACAGCCTCCTATATCACGTATCCTATAATATTATATTGAGAACACGTCTAACACATAGGAGTTAAACGATTGAAAGACCAGTCATTAACTATCTAATCGCTAGAGACGAAAGTTGCTCCTAAGTTGGAGAAGTAAACGGGAGACAAGTAGTAAATCGAAAACTTAACGCATGAGAAGGAGTAATTAGATCAAAGCGATGCATCCTGCCTCTCCCCCCCATCCATACCCTGTACGAAATAACCAACCTTCCGCGAACACGTCGTCGCGGTACGACATCTCGCCTCCCTTCAATGACAAGAGGCGTGCTTCGTCTGTTTGCACGACGTGAGACGCGACGTGACCGACGTGAGGTTCTTTAATGTTCCTAATGATGTCTTCTAATCTCACCACACTGGCTTCATGTCACTAGTAAAATGTTGCTAATAACTCTTAGTAAATTAAGATGTATGATTATCAGATTAATCAGATATAAACCTAATTGTGACTGTTCTGTTAGACTTTTTTTAATTATATATTTCACATATTATTTGTTTATAATATTATTTACCATTTTTTGAGCTTGAAATAAAAAAAAAGGGCTAAATACCGCTGACATTGCTTTAATTAGCTTATTAGCGACCGTAGGGATAGGGTGGTGTAGACGAAAATTTGTGTTCCACGACCCAATTCAAATGGCGGTAGAGACGTTGGCGAAGCGTGAGTGACGCTCATCTACTCCATGACAGGGTTGCAAATATGTCCGCCTTTGTAATACGAACGCAAAGATGTCGGCTGTGATCGACGTGGAGTCCATTCTAACGGCATCAGTCGAGAGTACGTTGCGCCTTTTTAATCCGCAACACATTTTACAATAATAACCGTGCGCTCGTCTAGGTCCGCCTTGTGCCTAAACTTACCCTTGAATAAAGATATATTTAGCTATGGTCAGCAGACTTTTAAAGCTAGAAAGGAGACCTGTTCTATCAAAAGAAGTTGTTGGTACAAAGAATGAAGAATATATAGCGTCCTGCTATAATGTACATCAAACGCTAGCTAAAGAAACGGCAGATGACACGCAATCGTGAACGAGTGACATCACAAGCTATTAGCTTCGCTGACCACTGTTCATCGAGTATATTCTTCTGTCTTCTCCGTAAGCGGTTATTAGGGTTGTAAATTAATTAACTGTTTTACATGTAACGTCATATTTACACACAGAGAGGGGTTTGGCAGTATACATCGAGTCTGGACACCATTAGGAGGAATGTTCGTCAGACGGTGTTCATCATACACGTGGTAACACAAATGGGGTTATATTATACTCGCGAGCAGTCACGACAAGACGCAGGTGTTTTTTAATATCTAACTCAAATTTTCTTTTCAAGACAGAGCTTAGGGTGAACTTTTTTGTAACTTCTCCACCTACGTACCTGATCCCGTAATACTCGTACTACATTTAAAAATCAATTATAAGATTATGGTAAGTTTAGTATGATATTGTTATAGTGTAGAGTACGATGACAGAGAGAACCTATTTATTTATAGCTAAGATCATATGCAATTTGTTTGAATCGATATCGTACTTACGCTGATGTCGGTCTATTTAGGCCTGGCATTAAGATTGCTTTCTAGTAAAGACAAGAAGAAGAATCAAAGTAATATAACTACCAAGTGAGGAAAATATAGAACAGAAGAGAAAGTGTACACAAACTAGTAAGAAACTCATGTATTCCCGGCTCAGCGATTATTCTCCTGTTAATATGAAACTGAATAGTATGGTTGATATGTCTTATTGTTTCACTTTGAGACTATTGTCAAGACTCGAGCTATTAACGCGCCACAAAGACATCAGTAAGTAGTTCGCGAGTACATCAGACCAGGTCAAATATCGGTCCGCGCGCTATAGTCGAGCTACTATCCGAACGAGTTGTACAGCCCGGAAGAGTATGGCGATGGATAACCAAAGTCGTGAGGTCGAGCTGTTGCGCTCAACGCTCCGCGAGTGTATACTCGTCTAGTTCTAACTGATTCTGTGCGTGATTGTGCTTTGCTGTTGCATCACTGGACGAATGAGACTCGAGCTCGCTTAATACTCCGAATATTCCCTGATATCGCAAGGTATAGATCTGCTGGGTGTAGAGGTTCACAACCTTATAAAACCTAAATTAAGGTTCACGTACTTGCTCCGCTTGTAGGGCCTGGAGACTTACTCGGCCCGCCACACAGCGTAAAACAAAATCTTTCCTCTCCCCCATCGTTGTCTTCCTCTTGCAGATATCCTTCGCTATGCTGGGCTTTGAACTTTTCCCGACTTGGACCTTTGTGTTGCTGGGGTAAGGCAAAGGCTGCTGACGCCGGACCATCGGTTTTGGTGTCGGTCAGACGCGTTCACTACCGTCTCGGCGGTCGGAGCCACGCCACACCGTTCGCTTTCTACGCAGACCTATCGGTCGTCGTTTGTAGCATCACCCAGATGGGAACGCGAGCTTGTAGAAAGGGTATGTCTAAAGCCGAGACCACGATAGAATACTCTTGTCCATATCCCCAGACAGTGTCTGCCATGTGCATAGTGGTATTAACACAGTTCATGCCTAGCCTGTGAGACAAGCTGATAGAAATCTGGTGCACCCGCTCAGGTTATATCACATGCAGGCTCCAGTTTAGATATGCTACTTGCATTAGATTAACTTTTGCACTTGTTGAAAAACTCCATATGTAGGTTAGAGGTACGATCGACGCGATAGTCGGTATAGCATACATTAAACGAGTGTAACCCAAGTCCGCCAGTATGCTCGCTCGCTTCAGTAAAGTAACCTGCTCCTCGTATGATACCTCTCGAGCAGTGTCCCTACGCAGTTTACATCAGATCAGTAAACTCTGACAGCTTACCGCTGCGTCCTATTTCAACTCGAGCTTTTAGAGGAGGTCGTAGTACTTCAGAGGGCAAACCCTGTAAAACCAAAGCGTCAACTGCAGTTCCTACTGCCCTGTTTTACCACCCGGCTTGGTTTTCGACAAACAGCCCGTAACAAGTTGATTGTACCATGCGCCGACCGTTATGTAGTTCTAACTTTTTTCATTGGTGGTAAATGGAACTTGACTTCACCTAACTCATCGATGTTTCGTCTTATTTTTCCTTTACATAAGTCATTTAATGTTCATAGAGTTTTACCATGAACTCCATTTACACGAATTAATGAAGGGTACAGCTTTTTGTTTGTGAACTGTTTGGACAAGACATATCGGCCTGAAGACAAATCCAAGTTTTCCCGCAGGGCATCGAAGACACAGCGACTAAGAGGAATTCAACTGAGGTCAAGAGACGATAGCAGGAGAGTTTGTCGACCTTATAGAGGAGTCGTCGACGTCACTCGCGAGCAAACTGTTTGACGAGAGTCGCAAAAAAATTGAAATCTGTACAAAAATAGTTTATTCTCGTTGGAAAGGAGGTCAGTGTTCGACACAACGATCGATGCAAGAGCAGCGCGAGAGCTCGATCCCTTCTGATTGTAGGAATCGAAACACCCCCTATCATAAGGTCTGGCAAAGAATTCGTTTTTTGTGGCGTTTGAGGTAAGTCTATCCACACAAAACTGCCAAAGGGGGGCTGTTTATTATGTCTAAAGAGCGTTCTAAGAGAAAAAACAGATACAGAAGAAGTGGGCAGATACACCTCGATCAGAGACAGATTCAGATTAAGAGAAAAAAGGTGATCGTAAGAATTTGAGGTACCTAAAAAGGGTTTAAGGTTGTAGACTGGTCAGAGACTGTGTGATGGGGCAGACATCTGTCACAAGAGTCGTCCGTGTATATTCTCACGACAAGGTTGGTATGCAATCCACTAATTCACCCCTACGACTCACTGTACTTCAATATTGGATATCAATTTATGTACTAGACCAAATACATCGGGAAATTGTACGTCAGACGCTAGTAGGACAACGATAGGAGTGATGAATACTAAAACGAGGTGAGATCTGTTATCCTGGAGCGGCGACGCACAAGCAATATTCTTTGTATCGACGGAACCAATTAGTAAATTGTTATATCAAGAGCAAGTTTTGTCAATATAATAGTTGACGCGGTTCTATGTATCGACAGTAATTGTACATACCGAGGTTGAGAGTTTGGGTGTGACGAGTTAGGCGATGAGCGGTAGAGAACCTCTATGAGGAGATATGAACCAGACTTTATCTCAGAGAGGAAGAGGATAAAGTCGTCAACACCACAAACATATAAACTTCTGAATCGAGTCTTTCGAATACCTTAGTTAGTATAACTTGAGTGATGTAGAGAAGAAGAGAGTCCTGTTACGAAGAATCTTGGCTTTTTAGAGCATTTGGTAAGATTAAATTGCCATGTTAATTTCTCACTTTATGAGTGACGATGTTTTAGAAATCTCAACAATCGGAACTACGAAATATTGGAAAGAATAAAATGTTGTCAGACATAATTTTATTATTGTATATGATAATATTATTTTACGTGGTAATGGAATAATAGCAACTAGATTATGTGCATAGGATATTTGTATAAATTATGTGTTTAGACTATAGTTATGTTCGTCCAGAGATGGTGTACTTTTCCAATATTGTATACTGATGTTAAAGCTCTATTACATTCGTGTGTCGAACCTTATTATATATCGACCCTTACTCATTGAGCTAAAGATTCAAGGAGAGGGACTGGTGGGAGGTTGTTTTATAACAGAATTTAATGTGTGGTTCTACGTCTGTTGCTTAAGATCGAAGTCTGTCACGCCGGGGAGAGTAAACTCCTGGCATTCAGATCCTCTACCAGGAGGACGTGGAAGGAATGGTCGTCTTCCCTTTGTATTCGAAAGATAGTTACATAACTAAGAGAGACACTAACAAATTCAAAGAGACTGTCATAGTCTAGATATTTGATTCTGGTCGCTCTATTATGTTTATTCTCGGAAACCATAATAGATGAGTAGGACAAACAATAAGGAGGGACGAGACAACTTACATCGTCTGGTACACATTACCTGTTCCGCGGCATAACTGGAACATAAGGTTAAAGATCAGGGAGCCATCGACTAGGATCTTTTTTTGAAGTGTAAAAGATGTATTTTAGTTAAACAATAAAGACTATTCGTAATTTAACTTATATAATTCTCATTGATTCGATATTACGTTAAGATCGATCAATTTAATTTAACATTCCGATACAATCAATTAAATCATAAGATCTATAGTCTTTTATGTTTAATGTTGGTAGTCGTGGGGAGTCTGGCACGGCATGGGTCGTCATAGTGGGTGGCAACGATGACAAGACAACAGTTAGTCATTAAGTGATTTAGAAACGTTCCAAAGTTATATTTACGGGTGAAAATCTATAAATATACCGACCAGTAATAACACAGTGATAAAAAGCGTTTATGAATGTGCACGAACTATTTATGGCAATATAAAACCACTTTATTCGTGCTGGATCACTCAGTCCTCCTCACCGCTTCATGAAATCAAGACTGAGAATAACCGAGAGGTAGAGGAAACTGATGAAGAGGAGTGTGAAGGATCAGATCCAGATGATCCTTTACAACCAGCTACTCAATACACAAGTTCACACTCTGAGTACGAGACTGATGACAGCAGAAATTGGGAGAAACCTGATTCAAACCCTCTGCAAGACAATGAAGTACCCGGAAGTGGCATTGAGGGTGAACATGGGTGTGCTAGAAGCTTTGTGCATGAGGGGAATCTGCAGAAACACACTGGAGAGACACTTTATAGTTGCACCTTCTGTGATTTCATATCTGTGAAAAGGTCAGGTTTGATCAAACACCTCAAAGTTCATAGTGAAGCAAAACCTCAAAGCTGCTCAGTTTGTCAACAAACATTTAAAAGGAGAAGTGAGTTGGTGTCGCAACACTTGTTCCTCCACACAGGGGAGAAACCATTCAGTTGTCATGTTTGTGGTAAAGGTTTCGCATACAAGTCTATTCTGAATAGACACTATACTGTCCACACAGGGGAGAGACGAGTCAGCTGCTCAGTTTGTAGTAAAACATTTGCAACAGTAGGCAATCTGAGAACACACCTGATCCTCCACACAGGGGAGAAACCATTCAAGTGTAAGGTTTGTGGTAAAAGATTTGCTGACAGTTCGAATCTGAAAAAACACTCAACTGCCCACGATGGAGAGAAACCATTCAATTGCACAGTTTGTGATAAAAGTTTCACATACAAGTCAATTCTGAATAAACACCTGCACCTCCACACAGGGGAGAAAGAATTCAGCTGTTCAGTTTGTAGTAAAACATTTGCAACACGTGGCAATCTGGGACAACACTCAACTGTCCACTCCGGGGAGAAACCGTTCAGTTGTACGCTTTGTAGTAAATCCTTCACCCACAAATCAAGTCTTAGAAAACACTTGATTGTCCACACGGGGGAGAAACCATTCAGTTGTTCACTTTGTGGAAAACACTTTGCCCAAATGACAAATCTGACACACCACTCAATTGTCCACTCCGGCCAGAAACCATTCAGTTGTACGGTTTGTGGGAAAGGCTTCTCCCACAGGTCCAATCTGAGACAACATGCAACTGTCCACACCGAGGAGAAACCATACAGCTGCTCAGTTTGCAAGACAGGTTTCACTCGGGTGTTCAATTTAAATAAACACAAGTGTGCTGGTGAGAGAAGCAACATAGAGTGAAGTTGCAGAGATGTTTTTCACGTTTTTTTGCTGCAGATATGTTTAATAGAGTGGTGTAGTGTAGAGTCCTAAAACCCCGAAGTGAGTTAGCATTTTACCACTTCCTGTTCCCTCGTCTCAGAGCCAATGAGTTTTTTGAACTATTTTTTGGAAAATAGCTGGAAATAAGGTCTGTTGTTGAAACAAATTGAAGAGACGGATCACGTTTTGTTCTACGACATTAAATCCATCAGCAGTAGGGATGGGTATCGTTAAGGTTTTAACGGTACTACTATTTTTATCGATACCGCTTATCGGTCCGGTCTTTTAACGGTACTTTTATCGGTTCTTTTGGAGAAAAAAATAAGGTAGACTAGCTAAACAAATTGTGAACAAAACTAACATTGCTTTTTATTTAAATTAAATACATAATATTTCACATCAAAATAAACAGCAATATTTTAATAAATCGTATTAAATAATGTGATAACAGAACTGTAAACAGAATAGCTGAAACTTTAACAAAATAAATAACTCAGTTACCTCGAATCATTAACCCATGTTTGTATCATTGATTGAGTTAACTCTGTGTGTTGCTGCTAGCATACATAATACCTGACGTGGAAACGTTACTCGTGGATGGGGGCTACAGAGCTGCTAGAAAGACAGTCGAACCCGGTGCATTCCTCCGTCTGAATGTGGTGCACTTTTGCTAAATGTTTAGACAAATTGCTCGTGTTACCGCCCTTACATGCTAAACTCTTATAGCACTTTTGGTAACGAGCATTGTCGGCATCGAGACGGGTAAAGTTTAACCACACCTCGGAGCGCGTTCTCTCCGCTATCTCCTCCGTGTGTGTGTGTTGCATGCATGTAGTAGCTGCGTGTGTGTGTAAACTGATATTCGTCGAGACCTCTCGGGTATAAGTCAGTGGTTTCTAGTTTTAATTTTTTTGGATTTATTTAGCAAGGTCCGTCGCAAAACGGTCGCCCCCGCCAGAACGCGCAGTAAACCCGCGGGGGAATAATCCCAGCGCCTGCGGTGGACTTGTCGCACGGGCCCAGGTTGGTATTATAATTCATTAAACTCCTCTTCTAGCACCAGAAAATGAGCGCGACTTTACTGCTTCCTCCTTTTTCCTGTAGAGGAATGACAACCCCCTCCCCGTTTCCTCCGCGACGCACCCTTAAGAAAAGCCTCATTAACCTCTAGAGAAGGAGGACTGTGCTTCCGACCTGGGACGATCCTCCTTGTGCCTTGACCACGCGCGTAAAACCGTTGCGCTTAAAAACTTTTTTTCGGGGGCGCCGGCGCAGGAAAAATCACCTCGTGCATCGGCAACTCGACGTTCGTGGCGGCTCGGAGCGGCCGCCTTTGACTCCGAGGCACCGATTTGACACCATTGTACCTTCCGCGCAACTCCTCGGCTTTTGGCGGCCGCGAAATCCTCTGTTTACTAGGCGACCGAAGTGAACTCATTTTCTCTTACTGTGGTAAAGTCCGGGGTCTAAACCTTTGAGGACGCGTCTGTTCGAGTTTCGAGTAATAGCGGTGGGACTTATTTCTTTCACTCAGCTCCCTGCGCTAGTATTCTCCTTCTTTCTTTTGAATTTTGAACAAGTGGAGGACAATAACTACACCATTCTAGGGGCGGACTCATAACAAGAGTATTAGCCGACTTTGTCAATCTCAGTACTTACACTTTGCGCAATTGTTTCTTTTTCCTTTGAGTCGACGGACGAGTGGAATAAAATAAATAGATTTTAATTCGTAAAAACTTCTACGTGTATCCAAAAGTTCCTCGAAAAATAACAAAAAAATAAAAATTTACGTCGGTCTCCTCGCTTGTAATGTGTATGGTGTCATAAATGACATATAGACATCTCAAGTCTACGAAGTGAACTGTGTATTTCATAACACACAAAAAAAACAAAAAAAAATTTAACATGAAGAGAAATACAACCTACCGTCAGTCAACAACTAATGTACGTCTGCAAACTATTTCGACGGTCCATGGAGTGATCATATAGGTGTGATTAAAGTATTCAGGTTCAGATCTGTAAAACTACAAGGCCCGTCGAAACGTACCCCTCTAAAAGAGCATTGACCCTGAGAACGAACTTAAAATCAACTTATGGACGATATTTCCTCGGTTGTCCGGCTCGGAGGTCGTCGTGCTGAAGTTGCAGTGCCGGTTGAATTCTAGGTATAAGTTCGTAGTCTAAGATTTACCATGCTCAAACTTTACGGCAAACATAACTTTGTCAAGACGTCGGCTCCGTCCTATGGAACCGGAAAGTTCGTCTTGTCCCGGTTGTTCGAATCTCGCTCACAAATTCGCAAACCTGGCGTTACTGCATGTTGCTGGAGGTGCTGAAAGACAATCAGGGATAGAGTCGGTGAACCCATTGTTGTAGCGAAAAATGTCTGGTGCAGTTGTTGAGAAGTCTTTCTGTGGTCACCCCAGGACGACTATCCCGACCCGATGGCTCGGAGGCCATAAAAGTTTGCCCGGGGCCTCGACTTAATAATTTCTGCACCCATCCGGCAAATTCTGAGCTGCCGAATTGCCCAGAAAAATAGCTAAGGCCATTGACCTCTGTACACTTTTTTATATAATAATAACGATGCGATTGTATATACGTCAAAAATCACAGCCCCGGTTGAGCAAGACAGATTATCGGTTTTCGCACGTTTTACGGGGCAGCAAAAATCATAAAAGCTAGAAAGTTAGGTCCGGCTACTCTAAGAGAGAAGGGGGCGGACGGACGCT